ATCTTTGAGAAGTGTTTCAATGTTCCCATCGTGTTCCAGAGATTGCATCACTATTGCGAAACAAAGAAGCTGGAAAGCAAATGGGTTTCATGGACTGTCACGCCGCCGATGTATGAAATGCGGCTTTAAATATAGAGATTAATTCAATTTTGCTTGATTTAATCATAATATTAGGCGAATAAACACCAAACTCTCATTCACTGGTAAACATGAGATGAGGACCAAGGCGCACAATAACTGACTGGTCGCAGCATTTCTACGTACTAAATCATATCCTGTGAAATACGGCCAGATTAGCTCAATCGACATTGTCGCTGATCAGATTGTCTCTTTGGCATTGACAGTAGTGTGATATTGTTTCTTTTCTTCAGATTCGAGTATTCAGGTACAATATTGATGTTTTTATCTCCTCTTCGACTTTGCTTTTTAGGCACGGAGAAACCCAACGATGCCTCCCAAGCGAGAACAAAAGAAAGATAATGAGCCACTTACCGGTGTTATAGTGGTGGATTCTTATGACCCACGATTCGCCCCTCTTTCAGCCACTGTGGGACCTTGGGTGAGCATTTGACATGTTCATTAGAGAATTGTTTTAGTTTCGTTCATTTCTTGCCAAAATGCCGTTATTTTTTTCGTGAATAGCATGTCACTTCTATGGATTCTTTAGAAATTTCTGATCCTAATTTGTCATTGTCAAAAATAAACCATTGTATCTGATTCAATCAGTTACTAATAGCGCATGATGCAAAACTTGGTACTAAATTTCAGTGCCTTCAACCGATCTGCAATGTTCCTCTTATTGATTTCACTTTATCTTGGATTATGCGGACTGAGATCCAGAAAGTTATGCTCGTAGTGTCAGAGAAGAATGCACATTACATGGAAAAAGTTGAAAAGTTTGTTCTTTTTACCTATCTTTCATTTTATAGACTTTATTTTAATTCTACTTGTAAAATAGTATTTAGGCGATGGAGAAATTGCTTTGAGTCGCTATCTTTGATAAGCTGCAAAAATTCCATGAGTGTCGGTGACGCACTGAGAGAACTTGATACTCGAGGATTATTAACGAGTAAGCTTAATTTTCAAGGGTTTTCTGAAGTTTTTCCGGAATAAAATTCTGTTCAGATGATTTCTTATTAATTTCAAACCCTGCAACCTTCACTTCATCAACTCTCAAAGCAGAGATAGCTGCTTTTAGGTCAGTGGCGTTACGAGCTTCGCTACTAGTTTCC